TTTACTTTGCTTCAAAAACTCTTTTTTCATCCTTTCATCATTCCTTCAACCAAAACACTTACAAACACATTAAATTCGTTCAATAATCAACATATTAATCAAACAAATGAAGCTCCGATGGTACAAAATTCATGTGCAAAACACACTCATCACTAATCATAGTAATTTAAAGTTGGATCATAATTTTATAAAATTGATGTTTTCTTCTTCACCATTGCATAATTAGAAAAATTAAATATAAATGACATTACTAATGAATCAACATAAAAAAAATATTTATTTGTAAGGTTCTTATGGTTGGATCTCGTCGGATTCTACATGATGTTATTTTAAAAGAAATTCGAATTATACAATGTGTGACCTTTTAAGCAAATTGTAAGTATAGTTCTTTTAAATTAAAAAATTGTAAGTATAGTTCTTTTAAATTAAAAAATGACACATCGTGTCACTTTTCTAAAGTAAAACCTTAATTCACATCTAACAAATTGAAATTGCATCATTCCTAAAAGAAAATTTCTGCATGTACAGAAATTTTTTTACTAGAAATTATACAGATACTCACATGAGGCCCAGCCCCATGTGAGTTAAATATTGTAAAAAAAAAAAACAAATATGGGGCTCAACCCCATGTGTATATTATGTATGATTACTGATTTTTTTCTGTACATACAGTGCTTATATTCCTAAATTGATCGAAATATTACTTGTCTTAAAGTATATAAAAACATTCTTTATTACTTTTGTTAAAAAATAACATTCCTAAATTTTTTTTTTTTTGGCAATCCAAACAAATTATATCCCAATTGTAAGAAACTTTATCCATTTAATTGACAATTTTCATGAAAAAAAAAACGAACATCAATGGTAAAAAAGTATGTTTTCACTAGGAAACTGTCTTCAACTGTCTTCTTTCAAAAACTCTTTTAAACAAATAAAATACTTATAGAAAAATTATTTAAAAAATGTTCAAAAGTAGTTTTGACTTTTCGTAAACTCCGTCAAATAGGTCCTGAATCATTTTTAGTTATTGTATTTTATAGATGTATTGGTCAAGCAATTTAATGTTCACTGAAAGTGCATACTTATGTAGATAGATATGAAGAGTGTTGTTCCGATTTCAACGCCATTATAAATGGAATCGTACTATAAAATTATGCTCATGTTTGAGCTATATTATTTTTTTCATTATCATTTTTCTACTCATTTTCAACCACACATTTTTCAATAAAATAAAATTTTACATCATATCAATAACTTTTTCAACCATATTTCCCCATCACACAAAACAAAAAAATGCATTTATGGACTTAAAATGTGCACCAAACAAGGGATATAACAAATAAATACATTTATAAATTTCTTTGTTTGATCCTCATTCATGAAATTCATTTCTAACAATACATTTTATGGAGATTCGCAATCTTGATTAACTTTTTAACCATACATTTAACTTTTTAACCATACATTTCATTAACTTTTATCAAGATCTACTAAAAATTTAATTTTTATTCGAACTAAACATTGACAAAATGAAGTGGGAAAGGGAAAGCATTGACTATCATAGGAAGTATTTGCAGAAGTGGAAATTACACAAAACACTACATTTCAAAATCCATCTTCAAAAATCAGATCACAAGTTTAATTAAATATTAATTATAAAATTTTCATCCCAAACCAAACCTTAGAATTCATTCCATCTCTCCATCTGTCTTCTCTCTTCTCTCTATCTCCCTCTCTATCATCGATCTCTCTACCTTCCCACCGGCGCCGCACCCACCCCCTCATCCGGTGTCGGAACCCCCATCGGCACCTCATCCGCAGCTCCACCGACACACTGAAAATAGCAACGTTGCCGGAGACTATCTCTCTCCCGTGAGCGCCGCAGTGGAAGAGTCCCGTTTGGTGAACGGGGTTGTCGATGGCGTATGGGCGGAGTTATTGGTGATAGCAGGGGCTGTTATGGACGCTGAATGTGGTGGCGGAGCTTGGAAGTGGAGGCCGGCAAAGACGGTGGCCGGAGTGAAGATGGTGACTTCGATTAGCAACGACAGGTTAATGTTAGGTCTGGGTTTTGGGAAATGAGGGTCGATTGTTGGTGTGATATTCTTCCCTTTGAAGCTGTTGGTAGGTGGTTACAAAGATGGTGGTGGCTCGGAAAGGCAGATGTGTGGTGAGGTTTGGAGTTCTCGTCGAAGTGG